CATTTTCATTTACTTATAAATACGTTCAAGACAAAGCATTTGAAGATTTTCTCATCCATTGTTATTACATATATAGTCTATTTGTCTTTGTTACAGCATTTAATTAATTCTTTAAATACAATCCCGAAAATAATAGAAAGATTACTATATAATAAGAAATTTTGCCAATTACAATATACTGCAAATAATTCCGTACCAGATTGATAAAATAAAATAAATTTAAGAAAGAAAAAAGAAATCTGTGTAATGCCGAGAAAACGTGGGGTATTTTACGAATTACAAACCGAACAATTGCTTGGCGGAAAAGAAAGTATCTTTCCATAAATCGACGAAATTTCGTTCACGGTCGGGAATATCCAGACCGCGTTGCAGTTAAAGCGCTCGAGCTCGAGTAGCGAGCGGTCTGTTTGCCGGGCGATTCACCGCGATCCTCGAATCCTTTTGGAACACACGGAAAATTTGGTCATTCAAATCCACTCGTTGCTTTTATCGGGATACGCGCGACCGGCTTAGTGGGACCGGATTTACGCGCGTGACGTATCTCGCTTATCGGAACGCTATTCCGCTAAATGAATAGTTTCAATAGATAAATCGATGCTGTAATTTCTGTTGAAAGTTTAAAGTTGTATAATTAATTCACGATATAAATGTAAAATTATAAGGTTTTATGGCGACGTATAGAAAGTAAAGAGAGAACAGGTATGTTAAAAAATATTTTGCGTATAAAAAATCGGACTTTGTCTTCGAGATAAAATCTGAATGTATGTGTATGCAAGGGCTTATATACGCGATGCCGCGTTAACGGGCGGAAATTACTTTTTAGCAGGCGTTGCGTAGCGTTGTAAAATCTATTCTTCTGTTGGTAGCGCGAAAAATCAAAATGCTTACGCAGGGATTCGATACGTGATACAATTTCTTTGAGACTCGGTGCAACGACGACTCGTAAAGGCTACGTGTGTCATCTATATAGTACAGTAAAATACGAGCTGTGGGGTTTCTGGTTTTAAAATGAAGCGATTGATACCTGAATTTTGCGCGTGATCGGCTTCTGCATGTATCTGAAAACAAATGACAACAAAAATTTATTTTTCAGATAACATAATATAAGTTTTTTTAAAACTTAAACGCATTTTTATTTTAATAAAATTTTTATTTGAAGCTCAGTAAAATTACATAAAAAATATAAAAATATTGCGTTTAATGAAATGCCCAAGATTTTTTCTTGTTAGAAAGATATAGAATATATAACATGTAATTTTTTAATTAAAGATAATTAGAAAGATTTTGTGGAATGTAATGTGTGATCAAGAAGTACACAAAAAGGTGCTCGTAAACAATGTAATAATTATTATTAAATAAGATTTATTTAACAATACAATTAGAATTTCTTTTTACTGACCTGAATAACGGCCTCTTGTGGTCGGAGGGAATCTTTTCCGACGTTCGGCGGTTTCTCTGATTTCGCGATTTCAAGCTTCTGGTAATCGTCGGAATCCCGCGATGGCGGCGGTGCCTCGGGGGCCCTCTTCCTTCTCATTGTATTTGTATCGCGGTCCGCAAGAGTCCCCGCAGATTCGTCCTCGCCAAAAGTTTCTGAGTGAATTACGGTGAAGCCGCCCAGGAACTGCACCGACTTCTTCGCGCCGGTCTTCGCGAACGGCGCACGCGTCTCCTTATCGGACAAATGCGAGCCGCTCTCTTCATACTCCTTCATCGTCGTTCCCATTTCCGTCGTTTTACAGACCGAGTTGTGGGGAGGATCTTCCGGGACCCTCGGGGCGAATGTTGAAGGTTGAGTTTTGTTGAACGACGTTCCGGGAGGGTCGCAGTCGTTTGATTTAACGCTCCCACCTTTCGTTTCCCCATCCGTCGTTATTACTTCCGGCCGCTGCGAGCTCGTCGCGGCAACGGGCACTTCCACTCGGTGGCCCTCCGTGAACTTACGCCTAGCTACTTTCTCCCTATCGTTAATTTTAGAATGTCTCTCGACGGTCGTCGCGTCGCCCCGAATCTCGTAATACTTAACGAAACTCCTAACTTTACCCGGGGTTATCGTTACAACGTCGCGAAACGATTGGTCGTTACTTACGTTAGCTACGGGTGTTACGGCCCTGTTATTGTCATTATTATTACAAGGGTTTACGGAAATAGTTTTCCTAGCTATGGCACACTTATCGCCGCTATTCATCGTATCCTCTACTAATGCTAATGCTGACCGACTCGCGATCCACCTTCGATCATCGTCGGCCTCATCGTCCGTTTCGTCAGTCTTTTCTTCGCCGCGAGTGTGAATCTTCCTCGAAATTCTTTCGCGCTTCCCGCCGTTCTCCATCAGGCTATTCTTGCGCGACGCATCCGCGATCGCCTCTCTGCTGTCGAAAATCTTGTTCATCGTCGCGGGAGCCCCGATGGAAATTCTCCTTTGGAACTCGTTCGCTTGCTGCCGCGCGTACTCAACGTTAGTTTTCTTAAGTATCGTTTTGGGGACGCGAATATCTCGCGATTTTTTAGCCTCTCGATTGATCTCGATCGTACTTTTTATGCTTTCGGACGTTTTCTCAATTCTCGTCTTTACATTGACCTCTTCTGATTTAATATCTGAAGAATTTTTGTCGATCTTCATTTTGTAGTTGTCTCTTGCAACTTTGATATCGCAGGACGATTCGTTAGGCTTTTTAATCTCAATATTTTTATTTTCTGTGATTTTTTCACTCGCTGGAGTGTTGTTCTTGAGATCTTGAGGCCTTTTATCAATCTTTATTTTCGTGAGCTCTCCTTTCTTTATGATCATTGTATCGTTATCCACATCAATAGTCTCGTTGTTTACAGGAACGCTGCAAATCTCGTTCTGAGATTTTTTAAACGATTTAGATGCATTCTCCTTTTCGTTGGAAATTCTACTGTCGATCGCAATCGGGCGAGATATATTTTCATCATCGCCTATCTTTGCTTTCTTATTCTCGGGACTCACTATTTTTAACTTTATGTTATTAAAATTGCAAAGGAGCTCATTCAGCACATCATTCTTCACGTCGCTAGCACTTTTAATATCTGATTGCATTGACCTTACGCTTGAAATCTTGACGATTTTTTCTTCCATTTTTTTGGAGTTCTTTAAAATGTTTTGATTCTTTGTATTCATATCTGTCGTATTACAGAAATCACGCGAACATTCTCTTTCCGTCACGATATCTGCGTCTAATTTCCTGATTTTATTCGGTGATTCATTTGTCGCGCTTAATTCTCTAACCACGCTCGTAGAAACTACGGCAGAAATTACCGCGGAATTCGTCGAGATATCTGTTAATAAATCGTCAGAGAGCATAGTTTCCAAAAAAGAATCTCGTCTAACTTTCACGGGGACATTTTTCGCGAAAATGTCCTCCGATGGCGAAACTGTCTCGTAATTATTCTCGGAATCCGCGAAAGAATTGCTTCTTTTCTTATCCTCTTCAGATAGTCGTCGAGTTTGTTCGATTTTAACCGACTTGTTTGTGAGATCGCCAGGGGAAACATTCTTGCTCGATTCATCGTCATTGCAGCGTTCGTTTAAAAAATTTTGGAGTGACTCATCGAAGAAGACTTTTTCGTTCTTGGCAACACACTTCTCTTTGATGTCATCGCTAGTTTTTTTCAAAAACAGTTTCTCTTCTTGGTGTACTCCTTGAGTTATTTTTGCCGCTTTTTCGATCCTGCCAGCCGTTTCTAAACTTTTATCTGCAAAGCTATGAACGTTCGCCGCGATTCTTGAAGAATTACTTTGATTCACTTGTTTTGCATCGTATTCCTCGCTCGCGACAGTTTTTTCCGTGTCCGACGTCATTATATTTTCCTTCCCAGTTTCGAAAATCTCATCGTCGGTCTGCACGTTCCATGATATCAAATCGGAGCCCTCGCGAATTTTCTCGCAATTAACGTCGTTATTTCCGTCACAATGGGTTTGCGGAATCGCCTTTAATTTCGCGTCAACCTCGCTTGCCCCCGTTACAAAAGGATCGTCTTCTCCCGTCGCGGAATTCCCTTTCTCGACGCTCGACGTGTATGATTTATCTCGCGTATTGTCACAGCAATCTTTCACGTCCGCGAATTCCTCTCGGATTTCAGTCAGTTTCACTGAAGAAGAAGCGGCGCTTTGTTCGCCGGCCTGTTCATTGCCGGGAATGGATTCGCGGCCGCGCGAACTGTCGCACGGTGGCGCACCGATTTTTACGTTAGAGCCGCGTTTCGACGGGGACGAGCTAGGCGAATCGATCGCGAATCGTACCTTCGTGCCTATAACGCGACACTCGTCATTGTTATCGAGAACGTCAGACGATCTCTTGCCGCTCGTTCGATCATTTTCGTCTGTGCTGTCTTCGAATCGGCAGTCGTCGAACTTCCGCGCGAAGTCACCGTCGTCGAAAGGATCTCTCCATCTGCCCAGACACTTTTCGAACGGGAGATTCGTCGTCGTCACGCGAAAACAGACGTCACCGTCGTCATCCAACAACGTATGCGCTCTCGACGATTCTTCCTCGCGCAAGTTCTGCGAGTCCCCGGGATCCACAGAATCGTTTCTACTCCATGTATCGGACACCACGTTCTCGAAATCGTGCCGAGTGAAGAAGAGCGGTGGATATCTGTCGTATGCTTTTCGCTTAGACGACGCGACATTGAGGGAGGACAGAAACGGCGGCGGTTTCGATACGATTGACTTTGGAATTGGATCATCGATTGCGCTGTTGCTCGACGTCGAGCTGCCTCCCGCGGATCTCGTATCGTTGCGAGGCTTCGCTTCGATCATTCTCGACGCAGTGTCGACGACGCTACTCTCGCGGTGGTGTCGCTCGGTTTCGGCTCTCGGACAGTTCGCCGCGGTGTCGCATTGCGGCTGGCGGGTTTCGACGTATCTAGAATTGTTTCGTCGACATTTTTCCGGTAGAAGCGGCGGCGGCGGTGGCGGCGGTGGACGTTTTTGAGATATCGCGACGTCGCTCGTGGTTTCCGTTGCATCGCTGCTCGCCACCGACTGATCGATCGGCGCAATCTTGATCTTACGTTTCGTTCGCCGCGGTGGCACAGGTGGTTCAGACGAATTTCCGTTATCTGCCAAAGAAAAAAGATTTAGGATCTTAGAGAAAGGTTCTTTAATTTCGATAGAGAGAATAAAAAACGAGAAATTTCAATTGATTCGAAAATGATACATTATTTGATATATTATTGATGTAACGTTTGCGATTCTTACAATTGTACATAACGCAAACGATGAATATATGCTTAGCGGACGAACTGTTAAATTTAGAACTTAAACACGAGACGGTATCCGCGACGCTCAACTGTCCGAGACATACTAAAGGTGATTCCTTAGAAATGACACATAGACTTCCCCTTCTTGTTACACACGGTCAATATCAATGCTTATATACCATTGCTAAGTTTTAATTTTATGCTATGTAACTTCATTAAAGACACAGGCGCAAAAATATTGCGCGTGATATTATTAGGAAAATTTATTTTTATTTTATTGTAATATATAAAATTGTATACAAAGATATGTATGAAAACATATGTATGTTTTTTTAGTCTATTTAAAGAGACAGATTTAATCAAATACGCTACTTTATTTTTTTGTGTGTAAAATTGTGTTAGATTTGCTGAATAGTTAGATTAAAAGGTTATTTTTATTCCTAAAGTATTTTCTAAGAAATTGTTTTTTCTAAAGTATTTTTAATTTAAACGGTCAAGAGAGTTACGAACTTCGGTAGCCGACAAGGGCTTCGCTAAGCGGATAACAGCAATTCGATTACCTCCGAGGCGAGTGTTACCGTATGTTCGACCGTGTATGACCTAGTGGAGATAATAGTCTTTTCGCAAATAGAATTTTCTATAAAGTTCCGTCATATGTGGTCAATAATAACGAAAAACATGATAAATTGTCGAGATTTTCGACAAAATTTTTATATGTATCCAAATATGAAATAGATACGCGGGTTATATATATAGACACGTCACTTACCTAAATGAAAACTTGGCGACTCGTTCTACTGACGTCGAAGTCTTCTATAGATAGCAGCATGCTGGCAGATTTTAGTGCGTTATTGTCAACGAGATCAGTCATGTATAGGCTGCAGTTGGCGTTATTATGATTGCCCATAGCGCTGGATGCGGCGCTGCTATATGCGCTTGAAGTATTCTGCACCGATGCCACGTCCGTGGTTTTCTGAATGATCCACTTGTTCATCATGCTGGATGTTTCCGCCTCCGACGACACGTCGAATTTGATGTCGCTGTGAACGAGATAGAACGAAAAAATTAACTCTGCTAAATAATATTTATAGAAATTAATTAATCCGCGAAATGAATCAATTATATCAATTATTGAATCGAGAACAACGTAAAACGTTGCACTTTGAGTCTAATTTATCCGAAATTGTTTGCTAGATGAAAAATTTTTGCAAGACATTTTCCGTTATTTTAGCAAGTTGTTAAATTAATTAATTCATATCAGCTGAGATGTACTCACTGTAAGTAATTGTTCTCTACAGAGTTCTGGCCCTGGTCGTTTCTCGATTCCAAGCTTTTTCGAATAGCAGGCTGCGAAAGAACCAACTCGACCGTTTCGGACGAGCTCTGCAGCATCTTCAGAGCGTCCTCGTAGCGAAGATTCAGCAGATTCTGTCCGTTTATTGCTACAATCCGGTCACCTGTCGAGAAAAATTTAACAACATATTTACTTTTGCATCTAGTTAAATTTATATTTATTTATGTTACTCTCTAATTAGTCTAATTCAAATCTATCTATTTAGTTATATATATCTTATATCTTTTTATTCATTTGTTATATCATTGTAGTTAACTACATTGATATTAATAGACAGTTAATTTCATCTATAAACTCGACTGCGAATCAGATAGATGCTTTCATTTTGAAACAATGTAAACATTTTATTTGCGAACCTTTGTTTACGTTTCCGGCCATATCGGCTGATCCGCCAACGGAAACCGCCTGAACATAAACGCCACCGTCGTTACCCTCCATCACTTGCAAACCTATGCTACCACCGTGGCCGCGTTCCAACTTGATCGTGTGCAAAATTCGTTCCTCGGCGAATGACAGCTCTTCTAAACGTGCCATTAAAGACGTTGATATCGATTCGTCGTCTGGTATCCGAAACGTTTCATCGTTGGTTCGTATATCGGCATCTGTCGAGGCAATAAGCAAACGGATTTTAAATAAAACTTTTATCTCAACAATGACATTTGTGACAAATGATGCATGAAATGTTTATAGAATATAAAAATTTTTCGCACCCAACAGAATCAGCTCATCAAATATCTAATTTATTTCGAAAAATTTTATAAGAGTATTTTTTATATCAAAATGACACAATTTTTTGGACTTCTAAAATTTTCTATATTTGACCTCAATATTGCTAAGAGCAATATTTTGTAATTATATGTGTAAGTACAAATAATTATTTTATAATGATTAAAAGTATTTTTATTTGTATAAAAGGGATTTTTATGTATGAAATGTATTTTTACATTATCACTTACTCAGCACGTATGCTTCCGGCATGGGTGATTCGGTAGATCGTGCCGAGAGCGATTGAATAGACGATTCGGTGTCGGACTTTAGAGATAGTGATTCCGTGTCGTCGGTAAGCGCGGTATCTTTCTGGACCAAGCTACTGTAAATCGCTCGCGTTCCCATTTTCACACCCAATCGACGCGGCAGGCTAGGTGTACGTAAACCCGACTGCCTCGGCGCACCGTAATTCGGTAAGCTGGATGCTTTCATCTAGAATGATAACATTGCCTCATTAAACAGAGAAATACGAGATAAATATCTATAAAATAATCACACCAAAAGTTTAATAATAAATTAGGAAATTAATAGCAATGAGAGAATTTTAAATAATCAATATATAAACTACATGTATGAAATATTAATTAGGCCGAAAGTTTAATAATAGTCTCAAACATTAATAGCAAGCAGAGAAAATATCGAGCAATCGATATAAACTACATGCATGAAATATAATTGATATACCTTTTGCAATGTCTTCTTAACGTCTGATACATTCCAAACTTCATCCGGAACAGGAAACTCGCTCTTTCTCGACAGACGAACTTTATTAATAGCGGCGTATAATTCTTCAGGGTTGTTAGGTTTATCTAACTGGTTGATGTTGTTCGATATAACTTTTGGGAGCGAATATGTACAATCGGTTTCAGCCTCGCTTTCTAGCCCGGGACAGCCGTAGAGCTTGTCGTGCTCCGATTTCGTTTCTTTGGGTTCCAACAGGATCTTGTGCGGCGTCGTCAAGCCTCTCTCCGATTCTTCCTCTGTGTCTCGCGATTGGCCCTCCGGTTCTAATCGCACGTTTACCTGCGCGTAAAGAGCATCTTCCTCGGACGAATAAAAGCCAGGTTCGCGACCAGCGTCCTTCGTCGTCGTTGTCGTCGTCGTCGTCGTCGTCACTATAATTGTGTCCTTCTGAGGATTTTCATTCTCTTTATTTTGATATTCCTCCAGTTGCATCGGATAATTTATTCTCTGCTGCACTTTAACCGCATTCGCGATCGTTATCTTAGTTTTACCGTCGCCGAGCTTGGGTTTCAATGGTGTAGGTTTTGCTTCCGTCAGAGGCACTCCAAAATCTGAAAAGTGATGTAGATTGATCATTTTTTTAAATATCTTTATACGAATGTTTTAAGGAAATAATATTTCACCAAAAGTGGAATTTGCTAAATCTTATTTATGTTATATGTATAATTATTGTATTTTAAAAACTGGAGAAAATCTAATAAAAATAACAAACGTGATAGATTGAGAAATTAGTAGTAGCAATTAAAATATCAGATTAAAAAAAAACTTTTGTATTTAATGATTTCTGCCAGATTATCGGTATAATTGTCGCGCTGAAAGTTCCACACGCAGTTCAATTTTCTGCGATATTTACATTTTAAGAAGATTTCCATACAAGAGGAGGATCAAGATCTATGCGGCAAAGTGTTACCATTTAGCTAGTTTTCCTGTCGCGTAACTTTCGCGGAAAGTTCAAGTTCTGAAACATTTCAGCAAGCTTAATCGGTTGGAAAAGAGCGCGTGTACCTTTAGCGAGGCCCTGAAGGGACGTGAGCTCCGAACGAAGTCTGAGAAAGAACTGATGATGCAGGGAGGTGAGCTTGAAGGCGAAGTAACTTCTAGAAAATAGAAAGGTTCTTTATGCAAACGTCGTTATTGTAAGCGGTGGCGCGCAGTCGAGGGCACTCGATATGATACACGATTTTCGAGCGAGTGCTCGCCGCGGCGCTTCGCTCGATCGATCGTCGAAAATTGCGACGCGCGAGCAAACTTACTTTCGATGATCCATCCGCAATTTAAACTTGCATCGTTTCCCATTCAGTTTGCTGTACACCACCAGACAGCTCTTGCTGTAACTCAACGTCTGCACGTCCCGCCACTGAAAGTGGGCCAATTCCGTCCTCTCCCTCGGCTCGCCCCCACGCTCCAGCAGCTTCAGGCCTTGAGAATGTATCGCCAGCCACACATTGCTCTCCGTTTTTCTCTTGCCGCCCTTACTGCTATTCTTACTGTTGTTACTGTTAACGCTATTGATATTATTATTGTTATTTTTGTTGTTGTTATTGCACGTCTCGTCGCGGCTGCATAGAGCCGCGTTCTTCGCGTGCTCGTCCGAGTAGGGTATCGTCGGCGCGCTCCCGCGAGAGCTTAATCGCGGGATCCCGATTCTGCCGTAGGCGTCCCGGGCGGATTTCTCCTGGCGATACCCGTTTCCCGCGCCGTCCTGCGACGGCACGGCCGCGACGTCGCGGTTGTCGGACACGGACGCGCTCTTCCCCTTTCTCTGCCGCGCCATCAGCTTCTCCAGCTCCTTCGAGTCCACCGTGGCGATGTAGTAGTGCGAGCCGTAATCCGGCAGGGACTGCGCGTGAGTTATGAACATCTCCTCGGCTTTGTTCGAGTCCAGGCCGCGGCGGTCGCGGTGAGCGCGGTGTAGCTGCGCCCGAAGTGTATCGGCGTCGACGCAGGGCTGCGATTGATGCCGGTCCGCGCTCAATATCAAGGATTCCGGTACATAGTGCTCGAGGAGGAAGTAATCCCCACAGCCGTGCTCCTGCGGGATACACAATAGCTCTGATGAAGCGGAGAAGTTATGTATGGATTATGTCAGAATTATTGTCAACTGTGTTACAGTAGATCCGAAATAACCGTCTCTCAGACAATTCGCTGTTTACTCACAATCAAATTGCTGAGAACTATGCAACTATTGATCTCTGAATTAATAGCCGTAGCAGTTTAATAGCTGAATTTTATCGCATAGAAATTACATATAATATAATTTTGTAGTTATAAAATATATAATATTTATTATTTTTACATTTTAACTATTTTTTAAACTCTAATTTAGTGTTGACAGATAAAAGATGAAGTTAATTCTGGAATTTATTACAATATTTGTTTCTGTTAATCCCCGTTTTACTTAAATTTTAGAATACAATATTCGTCACTTTAGAAAATCTTCGACATTAAAATCTTTGAATTTTAACAATCGTTAGACTCACACTTATATGTATGAAAATTCTTAGATTTTATCATTGTGAAGTAGAAGTTAATTGCGTTTCATGTGTATATAAGAACATAGATTTTACAGAGTCACAAATATTCTCTAGCTAGGGTTTCACAGTTTTTCTTTTCACCTAATCTCTATATTATTTAAAGTTTAACAATCATTTTTGAACATTCTGTTGTTTTGTATCGTGGAGACAGCAATTTCATTCCAAGTGGCGCATATCGCATGAATCACTCGTTAACTCACGTTGACGTTGTAGTTGCCGAATTCAGCTTGAAGCGCGAGACCCGTCAAATTGATTAATTCGGAATACGGGCAGACCAGCTGCTGCTCCAGTATACACCGCCTTATTTGCAGATACAGCAGATGCTTCGATATCCAACTCCTGGAAAAACAATACGGGCCAAGTTAGTCGCCGTCGAGTCGAGCGCATTGTCGTTGTCTGGTTTGGCAACGAACCTGGTGCCGCGAAGAGACGGCAGGAAGAATCGGAGTCGCAGATACAGCATGAAACTAGTCGGCAGACCGAGCAGACTCTTGCTCTTGCCGCTGCTCAGCCATCCCGGCGGCGCGACCTTATTTAATTTCGTGTCGGGTGGTAACATCGCGAAATCCCCGGCCAGTAGCACGGCCAATCCTAGAGTGAAGTTTTCATCGAGGCTTTCCGCTTGGACAATAGCCTGGAAGGATTTGCGTACACAATGCGTAAAATGATATATGTATTGTAGAACCTGTCTGAAACTAGTTAAATTCATATATGCCACGGTTTAACTGATAGCTTTAATGCTACGGAGCGATAGTTATATGAACAAGCATTAGTTAGACGTAAAAATAATATAATTATTTGCTGCATTATCGTTTTATTTTTAGTGTAAACCGATGTACGGATTTGATATTTCCTGAGGATTTGATATTTCCTGTGAATGTTTTTACTTATGCAATGCGCAAAGAAACGCGAGAGGGAAAGCTGAAATAGTGCCCGTAAACTACGATTCATCGCAAAATTATTATGCGAGACAAGCAATTAAATGCAGAGAACACGGGTGTGCATTTGATTGCTCCATGAAGATGATTATTATAGCGCGACATAATACGCATTTCTGCCGCAGAGGTAATTTTCCATTGGCGCGAATCTGTAGGAGTAATCTAATTTGGAAGTTCTCAGCGAGCTCCCGGGCGCGCTCTGTAAATCGACCATTTATTAAAAATTGCACGACAAAACTCCTACTCCAGTCACGTTCAAAAGCTTGAAATGAATGGCAGATACAGAATTGCGAGCTTGAAATAGAGGCTGTCTTTCTATAGACTTCTAGTGAAATTAAATTCCCTTCCTTCACTTTTGCGTTTCAGTGTTTTTGAAAAAAAAGTCGTCTGTTAAACATCTTCTAAGTTATAAGAATTTTAAAAGCACCGAGTGTTTGTGCGGCAGAGTAATGTAATTGTTTTTAATTATCATAATGGCTTTTTGATTTTCACATACAATTTTTATTTTAATATTCCTACAAATAACTCTCAAGAATAATATATTGCCGACCGACTCTTCCATTCGGTAATTTTATTGGTAACATTACGAGAAAGGAGTCTACCTCTGTAACGTTGGATTTGTACAAACGTTGAAGCATAGATTTTTATGGAAGAAGGAATTGCACACACAATACGCTCGTCGTCGTCGAGATCACATAACTCGTGGTTTGCGGATCTGTCGTATATAATGATTAGGCTTGGCGGCTCGCCAGAACTTCTCGCGAGTTCACGCCGGAATTTGTGGTCTCGTAAACAACCGGCCACACGTCTTGGCTTTCGCGGCCTAAGTGCGGCTTCGAGAGGCCACCGTCGCGCGAGCATCACGATCGAACCAGTTCCGACATCTTATAAGTTAGCGGAACAAAATGAGCAGAACCAATTCCAATTATAATATATTTATCTGTTGTTAAAAAGTTGCCAAAGAAAAAAAAAAATTAAGAGAACTGGCGCGAAAGTATATTTTTTAAAGGACTTTTGCCGAGATATACATATACACCGGCAGGATACATACTTTCGTTGTGCGCAGCAAATGAAAAATAATTCTTTTACGAAGCTCTCGCGAGACGCGATATTCATTTCACTTATAGGTGATACCATTTATTAGCGTTCCGAGAAATGACTTCATAGAGAAGAATCTGACGAGGTAGAAAAGTTACACGCAATAAAATGGGATAATGTTTGAAGAATATCATCGAAAATTGATCTCTAACCTCATTTAATTTAATTAATTTATGTTGGCGTTTATTATGTTGTTAAATGAATGATGTTTATTATTGCTTCATTATCTTTGAATTAACATATTACATACAAATTTGACGCGAAAGCAATGATCATTAGTCACAAGATTGATTTGGATGGCTAAATAAATGCCATTTGTGAATTGCTACTTCAATGAAATAACTACTTCATGTTATAACGATATTACGAATAAAGGTCAGTGCGTTTTTAATATTTTAAATTGCAGTCGAATTTTAAACTTTAGAGAATGTCAAACAGTCTAGATAATTTTTTCATTACTAATCAAAAATACTGAATAAGTTCCGTGAAATATCCTTTTTTTTGTTCTTTTATTCCTTTTTAAATAAATTCCGTTTAAAATATTGTTTCATTATTGTTGATATAAAATTATTTTGATGCGCTTTGATCTTTTCGGCAACGAACTTACCTGAAATAAATCCCCGGCGGTGACCTTTTGAGGATCACAGGTTACCTCCACGCGTTGTCCTGTTAACATTATTACGACTATCCGGCCAGAGTTGCCCGCCTACGCAGACAAATAAATTATTAGTTTAACATCTGTCCATCTTTCTCTTTCTCTCTTTTTGCAACTTCATGATACAAATTTTTATTTAAATTTATTTTTCTTGCTTAAAAAAAAATGTTAAATTTTTTCTTAAAATACACGAGATTATTTATTTTTATGAATTGCATAGACGATATATATCTCTATTATCATTTTAATACTAACATTTGCGTATTTCATGGAAATTATAAATTACAAATATATTTTATGCATAAATGTAGGAGCTTAGCAAAGTATAAAACATTTATTCTAGTTAAATAAAATTAATATTTATTTGAGGTTTAAAAAATAAAAAATTAATTGTTAGTTTTTTATTCAAGAAACACGAAACTTTTGAATTTATATGAAAATAATTCCATGTTGCGCAAAGCCACGTACACAGCCAGATCGAGGGATACTACCAAGATCCGGTATGGTCTAGTGGCTAGGATACCTGGCTTTCACCCAGGAGGCTCGGGTTCGATTCCCGGTACCGGAAATCTTTTTACCCTTGTCTCACCTTCTATATGCCACAAGTGCGTTCTTAAGATCGTCCCTAAACGTAATCCGGTATGGTCTAGTGGCTAGGATACCTGGCTTTCACCCAGGAGGCTCGGGTTCGATTCCCGGTACCGGAATATTTTTTTTATTTATATTTGACAAAAACAAGTAAAATAATTTAAATTATATTGCAAGAGTAGTGCAAACAAAATTTTTAAAGCGATAAGTGACATAATTTTTATTAATATATATATATTTTATATTTTAATATGTTACCCGTGAAAGCAGAAAGTAATTAAGTACATTATATTAAAATGGATATGCTAAATTATTTCACATGTGTCTGGAAATTAAACGTACATTTTAAAATAAAAAAAATTTTTTTTTTAGGTTTTATTATGTTGAATAATTGCATAATAATATTTTATTGTATGAATTAGGTAGTTACTTTTTGTTTCATTTTGTAAAATAAGTTTATTTGTTAGTTTGCAATAATAGCACATTACGTATATATTATTTTATAATTAATATAAAGTGTAATATTATTGATAGCAAATCGATATATGAAGTTTAAGCCTCTCATCTTCAATCCGGTATGGTCTAGTGGCTAGGATACCTGGCTTTCACCCAGGAGGCTCGGGTTCGATTCCCGGTACCGGAATCTTTTTGTTTTTTTTTTTTTTAATTTTTAAGCATTGTATAATGTTAACAAATATTTTATTTTAACAGTATGTTTAAATTTTTATTTTTATTATTTTGCAACTGCAATGTTTTATATTTTTATTTTTAATTTTAATGTTTCGAGTTACATACATTTCTTTTTTTAAATAATTCAAAATATTAAATAATAATGCAATATATAATGAAAAAATAATAATGTTCTATTAATAGTAATTAGTATATTAGATATTAGATTTCAATGGTATATGCAATATTACATTTTCTAAAAATATATCATTTCTATATGCATTGTCATCACTGTGGAGAGAATGACCATCATCATCCGGTATGGTCTAGTGGCTAGGATACCTGGCTCTCACCCAGGAGGCTCGGGTTCGATTCCCGGTACCGGAATATATTTTTTGCAGTTATATTTTTGTGAATATTTTAATATTCTTTTTTACAGTTTTTATTTTTAGAGATTATTAAATGAATTTATGTAATAAAAGTCATAACGATAATATTGGACCAAAGTGATGGTTTGTAACAGTGAAGCCACTCGACCTCCGGTATGGTCTAGTGGTTAGGATACCTGGCTCTCACCCAGGAGGCTCGGGTTCGATTCCCGGTACCGGAAATTTTTTTTAAACTACGTAATTTTATAAAGCTATGTTAATAATTATATAAAGTTGCCTATTTAATTTCCTGTTCATTCTAGAATTCAGGAATTATTTAAATTTTTCTTTATATCCTTTAATTATTTTAAACTTAATGCACAGAAAATGAATAAAAATTAAAAGTAGATTTTGTACATTTCCATTAAAAATATTTCATTTTTTTTTAACGAGAAATACGATTTACGACGTGTATAAAATACAATATGTGCTTATAACTTCAATAATTTAAAATTTACGATAAATGAAAAGTTAAAAATGAAAGATAAACGTGTATCACAAGTAGGTTAAAGTTCAAAATAATTTATGTCCTAGCTTCTAGTTAATTATTTTTATTTTCATACCTTGACTTGTCCCACGCATAATGTCTTCGGGGGCTGATTGGCACGAACTACAAACTCGGGACCAACACATTGTGCTTTATTGAAACACCTCGTGGGTCCACCGACTGTTCTGTACAAGCGTGACGGTGCTCTTTGAACTGCTTTTCCTCGTCGAGCTCTAGGCCCGTTTCTCACCATGATTCTGAAAATATTTTCATACAATTTTTTTTAGACGTAACAGAAAAAAAATATTATCACAGCAACATAATAAAATATATATTTTAATATAAAAAGCGTGATCTGTAACATAATCAAATGTAATCGATTAACGACGAGTTGACGCTGAAGAGGTTCTTTTTTTTTCTTTTTTTTTTCCTCTGTGGTCGCGTGATTAATATGGATCGAGCAAAGCGAGGCTTTTCATTCGGCACAACAGACCGCGATGCACCTAATTATGCAGCGAACCGAAACGCCTATGGCAAAATTTTGCAGACAGACATCACGTGGAGCGCTATATACAGCGATGTTAACGAACTCTCGCGCGCCGAGAGTTTAATTAAACTTTAACTGGGGTAGACTCCGGATGCTTTTTTAGGGCAGTCATCACTAAGTGCCCCCTTGTCTTTCTCTTTTCCTATCTTTCTCTTCTCTCCATCTTCCCCATTGTTTCGAGAACTTGGCGCGGGAAGAGCGCGTCGAGAAAAGGTCGCGTGTTTTCCCGAAGCCGAAATCAATTTTTACGATTAAGGATGTAATCTTGGATGTAATGTTTACGCGGAGGAGAATAGCACAGATTTGTGAAAGTAATATAAGAGAAGTAGAGAACCTACTTGCATTTATTTAAATTTTTTAGAAACGAGACGATTGGATTAAAAGATTGCTTGACATTTTATGAAATAATTTATTATCAATGTCACGTTAATTAATTAAAGATTATATAATATATTATTCGCGGTTGAATGCTAAAGTTGAAAATGCAGTGAATATTTTACATTGTTTTGTGAGAAACTGTGCAGAGGGTTATTTTAATTTAATTAATCGCTCCGATCTATTATAATTTCTAGACACGACAAAAGTTGTATTTATTATCTTTGCCTAACTATATATGCGTTTTTTGTTTCATTTCTGCTCGACTAAATGTCACAAAATCTAGAGTTCTCTCATAACTCTCGCGAAGGTCAAAGGTTGCCGCCGCGCGCCGCGTGTTTCGACCTTTTCACACAACCGACATGGATGCGGAACAGTCTCGATCGGCACGTCGCCGTTCGACTGCCTGCATCATCCAGCTAGTTTCACGCCCTCCGGGGATATGTATCCTGAGTTGTTCAAAACCACGGTGCGTCAGAGGAAAATTGTCTGACGCGTCTCTCTGCTAGAGTGAACCCTCTCGTAAGCGCTTATTAACGGGAACATACGACTGGGAGGCAAAACTTAATAATGCGGGTCGCGCGCGAAGATTGCGAAACTGTTCCCCTTGTGTCCTCATTTGCCTCCTCATCGCTTAAACGCGCCCTCACCACTCTCGACGCGAGATCGATGAAATGAAATTCTAACGGGGGAAGTATGAATTTCGAAGTAGTAAATATAAATTTCTGGATTATCCGTAATCCGACATTATCGTTATATAAAATAGCGAGTTCGCTTGCCCTCGTCGCAGTGTATAACGGCACGGTGCATAATGCTGTACATTGATGTTTTTTAAGGGAGCTCTGAGACTTTACGCGACTTTTTCTTTTCAGAGAAGTACTAAATAAAAGAACGTTTAATAAAAGAATACTACGGGTAACTTTTTTTTTCTTTTTCTGTTCTTCTCTTCTAAACGAAATTGGTTATTGATTAAAATTTTATCGGCTAGCTCAGATGGTTTGTAACGATTCGAAATAGCAAACTGCGTCGGAATTGAATGCTTTTCTCTAATAATCAATAATGAGTAATTTGTTGCTCAATTTTCTGACAAACAACTTATTTTTTTTCTTTCTTTTATTATGACAGAAAGCTAATGTATAATAGATTATGATGAACTGACGTAAATAATTGATTACGATATAAGAAAAAAGAAATTACCTGGGAGGCTTTGCCGGCGGCTCCGTGTGGCTATTACATTCCGAATCGGAGAGAGCGGTTTTTCTCAAGGTGGTGATAATTCGAGGTGGCTTCGGAGGTCCCTGGAGCCCCCTCAGCCTCATAGTAGTTGCTGAATTTTGTTGTCGTATCGTCTGTCCTTCTTTTCGCGCAACGCCGACGCGAGATTCAGTCGTTGCTACACTCGGCTGTGACAATCGCTTGAAATCCTCGTCAGCTTGCGTTCTACTCGGCAGCTGCGGATTCGAGTGTTGCCTTTGCAGGAGCATCCTTCCCGTAGACGTTCGTCCGTATATATCTTCGCGAAGACGTTCATTTGGTTGCGAAGTTACGTCGGGTTGGGAGCGACCGGTATTCGAGGGATGCCTATTTCGAACGAGTTTTTAGTGCCTCGGAATGAGAAGGTGTAGACATTGCGTAAAATAGGGAAAATTACACGGAAAAGACAATTTTGCTGAATCCAGATCTGAAAATAATTTTTGTTCAATAATCAAAATAATTTTGTGCCAAAGTCAAAATTGCTAGAATATCAAAATGTTTTATAGCAATGCTTATCAGTTTTAACATTTCAACAAATTATTTTTAACTATTTTTAAAAAAATTTTTAGACCTTTCAACAAAATCGTTCTCTCTGTGTAACCCTCTGACAGTTTGACGCGAAATTTACATACACACAGCTCAACTGTAGACTATAAACTTTATCTGAAAAGCGCGTTTTATCGATGAAACAAATGTATATCAAAGCAATTGCGGACATTCTTATTTGACACGATAAGATATCGAGATATAGAAAAGAATTACTATATAATGTTATGTCTTAAAAAGAGTCATTTAGAAGAAAGCCACTGTGGCGTGCTTTCGAAAGAATAAGTTAACGAAAAGTCATTATAATGTCGCGTAGTAACCAAAGAATTAAAGATAAATAATCTACATCTGATTTTTATTTTTAATAAAATTATTTAAGACTAGAATAATAGAAATAATAGAACATTATTTTATTTTAAGTTCCGGACGAACGTTTTGGACCAAATAGCTTTAAATTTGTGAGAACATCTATGTTCAAATGTAATATCCTTCTGAAAATTGACTTGTAATGAAAAGCTATTGTGTAGAATCTGTAAGACTGTTCTCATCCTTATGATTTAATTCCCATTTTTATGATGAAATTTAAAAAGAATTAAATTTTTTCATCTCAAAATCTGGACTTAACATCACGACTTCAGAAATTATAACAAGTACGAAGGCATAGATAGTATATAAATTATGAGAAGTAATATATTACAAATAAAATCGATTGATTTTCCTGTTGCGAAATAAGTACGCGAATGATATCCCGCGCGTACCTGTTTATTGATGACGATCCACCGTAAACCTCGTCGCCGTGACAGATCGCGGGAGCTTTCGCCGACAGTCCATTGACTCGCACGTCCTGGGAGCTCAGGAAGGGCTTAACCGGCAGGGCATATATCGGGTCGTTGTAAACATTTCCGTCGGGATTACCGTCGGCCATCGCGCTCGTCGTCGTCGGTAGATTGCCACTACTCCTGGTGTGTTGAAGCCGCGTGTAAACCGGCTGCGAGTACGTCCTCGAGTGATGATGAATCCGACGTGTCGTCGCTGGCCCTATCGATCGGCTGCCGCATTGGATATCCAGCTGCGATTGAAAGTGCGTTCTGTAGGCGCTGAGAGCGGTCTGCCGTTGTTGCTGCTGCGGCTGCTGCTGTTGTTGTTGTGGCTGCTGCTGCTGCGAGTCGAACAAGCTCGTCAGATTGGGATGCGACTGCGAATTGCGCGATTGCGCCTTGAAGTGCGCCCCTTTCGCGTATTGGTAATTGTAATGATGACTGCGATAATCCTGCTGACCCTTCGGCGGTTGTGCTGCATAATCCTGTTGCTGGTGAAGCGAGCGAAATTGATTGGCCGGACGTTGAACGCGATCGTATTGTTGTTGCTGCCGTTGCTGAACAGTTAATTGATTCGGCAAATGTTGCCCGACACGTGCCTGATGTTGAAAAGATGGCGGTTGACCATTTACAGCTTGGACATAGTCCTGCTGTTGCTGCTGTTGTTGCGGATGATGATGATGCCCGTAGATTTTCTGATGATTCAATTGTTCGATCATGTTCCGTGTAGGGTATAGGGTGTTCAGCTGGTAGAGGGCTGCTCGTTTCCGCGCGGCGTATTGTGGTGACCTCACGACTTCTCGATACATTTCCATCACTATGTGCGTGAAGGGCTTTGCTTGTAGACGCGTCCGGCAATATTCGGATATTACCTGCAAAGCAAGAACATGATACTGTAGTACTGTCAAATCGCACATTAATGGCGTGGGTGGCTTTTATTGATATCTGACACGAAAGGATCCGCGATAGAAGCGGAAACTGCGCGAAATATAGTCCTACATACGAGTTGATATTGAAAAATGTGACATCTTTTTATTAGAGAATTCCTGAAAAATGCAGAATTCGAAATGTGGGTGGCTTTTATTGATATCTGATAGGAAAGGATCCGCGATAGAAGCGGAAACTGCGCGAATTATATAGTCCTACATATGAATTAATATTGTAAAATGTGACATCTTTTAATTAGAATATTCTTGAAAAATGCAGAATTCGAGATGTGTAATTTTTTTTATATCAATAATTAGCGTATGTGAAGTTAGCATCTCAACATTAAAATTTATTAAAATAGTTCTGATTAGAGTTCCCGTTTTATTTTGAAGAGACGAAGAATTCCCTATTGTTTATAACAAGAATTTTGCTTAATAACTAAGTATTCGATAAATTTTGAAGATATAAAAAGTAAGCACTCCATTTTTTAAATTAAAATAAAAAATGATTGTTAAGCAGAACTCTTGTTATAAACTATAAGAAGCTCTTTGGAGCAAAATGAAGTGGAAACTCTAATCAGAACTATGGAATTTTAATGTTGGAGTGCTAACTTCACACACGCCAATAATTTATAGAATAAGTACAATCAGAGCGTTATGTTGTGACGTGAAGGTAGAATTACTTGAGTAGCGTGATTTTATATATACATATATATCAGATAAACGCTCATGGAAATCTGGAAGTTCGCAGTAATCATCGCAGACATAATATGATCGTGCAGATGCGTTTATCGTGCTACCCAGCGCGCCGATTATCTAGTTTCGAAACTTTCGCATCGCGCAGTAGACGAACTATTAGCTTAAGAGGACAATAGTTGTTGTCGGAATTCTATAGATCCTGCTAAGCTAAGATCCTCAGGGAGAAGTGCTAACACCGATTAACGCGTCATTGTATTCCCTGTAAAGATGAATACGAAACTTTACGCGCAGTCAATGAAAAGATTGCATAAGATATTCTCTTTTTACAAAGATTTCCTAATGAAATAATCATAATCGAAAAGATTAAATATCTTTGTAGAGTTAATTAGAATGTCGCTTTTAAATTTATTCACCGTAACACGTACTATAGCTTTCAGCTTTACTGCTCGCAATTAATTAGAATAGTTCCAATCAGTTCTAATCAAATTGATATAATTCTAATCAGTTTTAATTATGTGATATATGCATTTACAGCTTTTCAAGTATTTCTTCTTACAGTTAGGACAAATAAAAATGGAGAAAAGCTTTTAATAAAGAAATTATTTCTATGTATCGTTTAATAAATAGAATGTCAATTTTGGTAGCAAATGTAGCATTGAATAATGAATTAATGATAAAACTTTCAGTTAAGAATGAAACCCGGACAAGTATATAAGTAATCGGTCAAAAAATTTATTGCGGAAATATTCTGAAGCTAAGCTGAAGTTAATAAATAGGATCGGGGCGACCTCTCATTCAGCTACGGTAGAAATTTCTCGACGGACGAGGCCAATGGGCAGACCTGAGATTGATATGCCGTTTCATTGCACTGGGACATTAAGAAATAAGCGATGTGCGAGAAGAGTAATAGACGTGTAGACTATTATTCTTAACAAATAACGGCAAACGGTGCTATCAGTTCGTGCCACGATTGGCATCCACCGGCTGCGAAGTCAGTGAGGCACTCGTCTTAACCCCACGGCGTGCTCGGCCACAGGCTTGCTTTATCCGCGCGGATAGATACGGCCAGGCAAAGTAGGTACTCGAGCGGATAATTTATTGGCCGCCGAGGATTCCTCGTAGGAATTGCGGTTCCGCATTACGCCGCATGCCGCGTGCCCTCGCCCTTCCGCCCCCTCCCTTCCCCATTTGGCTTCCGATTTCATCAATTTCGGGGGTTATCGGGGCTGCAGCTGCGGAATTATCGCGGCTCGAGATGAACGACTTATTACGGCCGCCGTCGCCACCGCCGCGCCGCCGCGCCGCCTCCTCTTCTTCGCGCGCGATAACGGCCGCCGCGTTTTTGAGATTGCCGCCCGTTAATCATCGAGCTCGGCGAAATTATCGTAGATATATGTGGGCCACCGCATACTCCCGTATGCAATTTTACGTTGCAGGACCGCCAGCTCGTCGTGCCGTTCGAGGTGCACGCTAAATCCCTGAAAGATCTGGGCTTGAGACCGGGAATTGCACGCGGACCGGTTTACGAATTTATCTCTTGTAATGTCGCAGTCGCCTAATGACGTCCCGTGCATAAAATAATTCTCTTGAGAGTGAGATTTGAATCCACGATTTGACTCACGTAGATTTATCGGCGAATTCACTGTTAACGGCTTTACTGACCCATTTTGATCTTCGTTTTAACTCGATATACTGATTATTACACAAAGAAACTAATGGACTCTGAAATTAAAAAAAAACAAGTACGGAAAAAGGGATTAATGAGAGTCAACGCGGTACTTGGTGCGTGTAAAATTCAACCTTTTTAATACGTATCTTCCTATTACGTACTGATTATTCACTGGAGCTTTTACAAAATTTGAACGTATATTCTGCGTAAAATTTTCGATTAATTTCTATAGTGCCGATGTAGTCGAGTAATATTACGGAACCTTTCTCGCGCAAAGGTTCTCTCATTTACAAATTGAAGATGAGAAACTTTTTTTCGTTCTTTCTTATCCCAAGTTTTTTAAGAAAGTAAGGAAGAGAAGTTGATTCTTTTATCTCAAGTCTATACGCGTTTCCAAGATTTGAATTGAAAAATGTCGAAAGGATCGCGTGTCGCGCGCTCATGTGCTCTGCGGACATATGCGATGTGTCCTCGTGGTGTTACAACGTGCGACCGCATCCTCTATCACACTATCTGTTCGCCCTAATATTTACACGTGGGAGAAATCTGCATTGCACGCATCTCCCGTCTGTTTGCTGTCTGATCAAAATAATTTAATCATGCGCGGGGGCGTCGCGCGAGCAAGCCTAGCGCCCACGATTAAATTTCATCTTGCCATTTGCATCTGTATAATGTCGTCGAAAATCCGATGAACAGGTATTGTAGAAATCGCCCGTATACATTAACTCCCCCTCGTTAAAGCCCCTCGATGTGCATAACCAAACTGCGAAATGGAATATTTTCACGCTGGCCTCGCATCTGGAAAATACGCTTTGATTCTATAATGTGTGAGTAGAAGGGAAAAGCGCGCGCGCGCGAGAATTTCAATTAATATTAATCTTACATTTTGTTTATCACACGGGTAAACAGCAGAAATTAATTCAATGCAATATAATAATTGCGTTTATACTCTATATGCAAAATTTAGTTATTATACAATTTATAATAGACTCAAATTATAATAGACATAAACAAAATCTGCGTTTGAAATTACTATTAAATATATAATTGTATGTTGCTATTAGATCTAATTGTAGGTTAATATAATATGGTAAAGGGATAAATATTATGCATATAAAGAGATATAATATATTTCTTTATAGGAATGTCATGCATGGAGCATACAATTGTATATTAAATAACACATTTTTTTGCAACAATGTGTGAAGTATGTTCCATCATATATATATCATTTTCATTATCTTTTTTTACGTGACATCCTTCAAACGTGTTATACCACAGCTCATCGAGCTATTATATGCGGTTGGCGGTTGTCGAAGCGTATATTCAATTGATTTTCAGTTCGTATTAAGACTTATACATATATGTATGTGCACACGTACGTATGTTTACATACACACACACACAAACACACACACACACACATTCGCACATATAGATATACAATAATAAGATCTTATATACATGTTATTTCACGTTTTTTTCGTGACAAATTCTTTTTCGAATTAAGAATTTCTTCTTGAAAGGAAGAGAACGGAAAGCAATTTTATTACACGCGATTTATAAAACTTTTTAATTGTGGACATTAAATATCTCAGTAAAAGAGACTTAAATTAATATTTCATTAAAACAAAGTTTCAAATAGTATTAAACTTGCAGCAGTTGTAACTGGGCTACTAAGTAAATTGCGCACACGTTTGTTATCTCTACGCTATCTCGGGTACTCGGTTACGGACATTTCTTTTTTTTGCTTCGCACAGTTAATTAAATTTCACAATGCCAGTATTCAATCAGATACCAAATATTATTTCTGACTCGCTCATTCTTCGTGTTTCACTTAGATATACGTGTATTCATCGTTGCGACATGACATCTCACGTCACTATTCCTTGTCACGCAAATCATTGGCGCCCTGCTTGCATCTCGAATGTCGTCTCGACGTACAAATGCTGCACGCGCAGCGTGCTCGCCCTGTCCGTGATAGGTGATTCAATTAAAGCGAGCTTTCATGCAAGCCGACGGCGGCGGACACCCAAGGGCCGCGCGGTGTCGTGTGGCTATGATTAAGTCTGTGCGGTCTATCGATTAATCCCGTATATGAACATTACCGAAGTTAAACATAAAGGGTTAGGTATAGCTACCTAAAATTCTCTTTTCAGTGAAATTATCGACGAGTAAAGGGAATTCATAACATTCTCACATCGAATTGAATTTCTAACAATTCACTGGAAAGAGAGGAGAGAGAAAGAGAAAGAGAGAGAGAGAGAAAGAGAGAGAGATATGACAGTGAAAAATAAAAGCACAGAGTCGCGTGATATTACACTTTGCTCTTTAAATGCAAAATACGTATGGTGCTGAACATGCTTTTAACATTTTTAACGATAATGTTTGTTATTATACGGTCTGCTTTCTGAGAATCGTAATTTAGATAATTATTATATAAAATGGAAGCCATGAATAAAATGCATAAGCGCGATGTTCCACATAAAATACCTGTCTCTTGCGATTACGATCTGCATCACATGGACGCATGTGTATGCAGACTCTAGGCGTGGAGACTAGACGTACACACGTATGTACACACGTTTGCTGCAACATCTAGTCGCAGTTGCGAGCTAAAGGATCGAGTTACCCCTGACACGTCGCGTCTCAAAATTTCATCGTCACGGTAGCGTCGCGCGTTATTAGCGGCAAATTGCTTTATTATTCTCACCGTGAAGAGACGACCTGGCCTTTCTTGGCGCGCGTTATGCATTTCTCGTGTGCCCAATTCCAGTCCGACGCAGCTGCTCGTACGTTCGCGACGTTGAATCACTCACCCATTCGTACTCGTGATGTGGAAATTAATTTTGCGTTTACCGTACTTGGGATTAGGGTATTGTTAATACGCGGATTATCAAGATCCAAGTCGCGACGAGTAATGTACACGTTGAATAATGTACCTATGATCCGTGATTATAATTGTCTGCGGTAATCGCTACTTTGGTGCATACACTCATTAAGACGTCTAATTCAATTATAGCGATTTAGAATCTTACCGTTCACTTGAAGCGTATTATATTATTTTAATATTATTTTAATATTTTTATATTATTTTAATTGTTATTATATTATTTTTGAGGCCCATTTTCACAATGTATGGTTATCTAAAGGTTAAAAATTACCAAGAAGTTTATTGTTTGACGACGTTTGATTAGGACTTGACCATCAAGTTAACTTGATGCCAACTCAACTGATGTAACCTTTACACGTAACCTTTATTTTATTTGATTATAAGCTTATTAAAGTGTGTTTTAATTAACTTTCAAGTTTTAGTTAACCTAACTTTTTCGCTAACCATATTATGAAAATGGACGTGAAATGTACTTTCTCCGCGCTATTAATACTGCAATATTAATGTTTTAATTATTAATATACACTACGATTGTAACATCTGATTTTATTGTAAATAAAATATACTCTAAAAAAATATTATAGGATATGTATAAAAATAAATCGTAAAATATGTAAACAACAAGGATTAAAATATTTATTATTGGATTGGATCGTCTGCATTGCTTCAATAATGAACGTTACGTTTATATCTATCTGCAGACATATCGAACTACCAGCAAAATGATGAAACTCGAGAATCGAAAACTGTTTTGCGAAAGATACGTGTGGAAAATGACGCGGGCGAGCGAAGTGAAATATCGAGCGCTGAAGAGTCACTCTAAGCGATACTCGTTGATTTATTTCGTACCGTCGATAGTGCGCACACGAACGAACTTGGGAATTTCGGGGCTATCTGACCATACCCCGCGGCAAAATCGGCAATCTTGACCTTTTATTAGCAGATTGTACAACGCTCAGCACAAACGCTCGCCCGTTATGTAACGCGGAGATTGTACGTTGCGCGTGAGTGTTCGTACCTACTGATGACGAATGAACGTGCGACGTGCGACAGTTTTTTAAAAAGATTACGAGCAAAATGCATTAAATATATTTGTACGTATATAAACACTATATATTCAATCTTGAGAAAATTGACGGAAATTAACAATTGAAAATTCAACGGGGGAAAGAAGATGTTGAAAACTGGACGGAAGGATTTTTCATTAAAACTTAAGAACTTACGTCAAGTAAATTCATCAAGGAGGCACGCCTGCGAGGATCAGGCTCCGTCATGGCGGCCAACACTGATTGCAAAGCGGAAGAGGGCGAGACGGAAACGGTCCCCGTTAACGCCGTTGCTCTAGGAGTTGTGTCCAATAATGCCCTGCCTAAAGAATACATCCACATCTGAAATCAAAATGAGATTAATCTTTATTGAGCACATTAAACATTTGGTATATAATTAATAGAAGTACGTTGATTTTGGAAGAACAAAGTTAAGCGTTGATTTAAGAAAAATACAATAGCAGTATTAAATATGTAACATAATTTTTTCACTGAGAATTACATTATATCCGGATTTTTATTATGTATATTGGCTGTTTGTAAATTCTCTTTTAACAAGCAATTTTAAAAGCTCTGTATATAACATATTCAGCAACGTTAAATACTTCGAAATATTTCTACTAAATTTTAAATTTACCATGAATTATAAAATGCACTTTTTTACTGTGCACAAAGGAGTTTATAATTAAGAAAACGTTGAATTTATAATTAAGAGAACGATTATTTGAGCGTCGAATGGAGAGAAATATTATTATTTCCGTTGAGCTGACGATAAATTTCGAAACGTTTCTTATTCAAAGGGATGTCTAGCGTTAGACCGATAAATAAAAGAGTGATATCATCTGAAGGAGAGGTACGGCACTCTCAGGAACAACTCTTCTTATCCTGTATCAGGTAAACTGTACATGTCGAAGTATACATCAATCTCGAGTCTGTTTCTATCTAAAGCGGATGCAGTAATTCGATTTTTCTTATTTGTGCGGGAGAGCACGCTACATATACGTGTCTAAACACGCCTAGGAGGATTATATAGATTCGAAGGGAGTATTAGTTTATCGACGATATTTTTATCTGAAAAAAAAAACAACGTTGTTCCGATACTTTCATCGATAGTACTAGAAAATATCGAACTATGCAGACTTCATCTCTTCGATACTTGAAAAATAAGCATCGATGTTATTCGATACTTCCATTGGATGCTCGAAAAGAATAAATAGCGCAGCGCCAATACGGATAATCCCTGATCACATGACATTTTCCTGCCTGAAGTTTTAATTACTTTCCGCCGATGCATTTTATTTCATTTAGTGCGGCGCACGGTTATTTTGTCCACATTTATAATTAAATGTCAGAAAGGCAGAGATCTTTATGAATCCCCATGTGAATTAAACATTGACTTCGTGGCTTTCTCATTTATTTACGCGGAAGGGAAGTAACGATGCTGCACTTACAGTTATAGCACCTCGGTGCGCTCTGTGACTCGCGCCGTGTCACAGAGATCATTCTAACAACTCGCTTGTGCACGGTGTCACGCGGTGAAAAATGTAAGAGCGACAATCGCCGGAAAAGAGAGTGCTTTTTCGCGCTGGCTTTATGTCGCCCAGGTAATCGTCGTGTTGTACCGTGATGCTGCAGCCACCACCGGCGGGAGTTTCTCTCCGGAAAAGTGGAGTCGTGACGTGAATGTCAAGGTGCACGGGACTCTGTTATCAGTGATGGATTTAGGACATTTTAAATCAAATGCATAACTCAGCGGAAAATATATATTTTTAGAGGGTAATTCTTCGACAAATTTTGATTGAAATATTTTTTCGAGACACGTGTTTCTACTGTTTCTTTCTTGATTTTGTGCAGAAGATAAAATGTTACACAAAATATCTAAGAATGTGTACGTTTAATTCTGTGAAATTATGTAATATAATTATCTTTAATTGTGATTCTACACTACACGGAAAGAATGATTTTGCTGGTTCAAGATCTGAATATAATTTTTGTTAGATAATCAAAGTAATTTTGTTGGAAAGCCAAACTGATAGCTAGAATATCAAAACATTTTATAGCGATGCTTATCATTTTTAACTTTCCAACAAAATCATTCATTTTTTCGTAAATTTTTAACATTTTATTGCCACGAGTAGTGTAGTCTATAAAATATTCTTTAGATGCACGATTTAAAGTGATAGAATCGAAGCTGATTACAGGAAAATTAACAAATCACTTTTTTCTTTCTATTATATTAGAAACATACACGGAAAAGACAGTTTTGCTGAATCCAAATCTGAAAATAATGTTTGTTCATCAATAATCAAAATAATTTTGTGCGAAAGTCAAAATGATTGCTAGAATATCAAAACGTTTTATAGCAATGCTTATCAGTTTTAACATTCCAACAAATTATTTTGATGATTCAACAAAAAATTCTTTTTAGATCTGTTTTTAGCAAGATTTTCGACAAAATCGTTCTTTTCGTGTAGTTTATTAAAAAAAAGACTCAAATCCATGTGTTCATTTATGGAGTAATACTAATGGCGAATTTGGTTAGATTTAGATTAGACGCACTAGTGCGCATTGAAACCGTTAGTGTTGTTGGTGTTGCAAATCAGTGTAAAGACGTGTGTTTAATTTAAATCTATTGTCTAGAAACGAGTTAAATCGCAAAACTCTTAATAATATTTTACTGTAATCTTTATTCGATAAAATATGTATTGGACATTTTATTATTTAAGATATTTCATATTTTTATATTAAGATTAAAACAGTGTACGGCATTAATGTGCATTGAATGTTCAATTGTGCGTCCAATCGAATGCGCTATAAATTCGCTAACAAAGTGATCATTATTTCTAATTCAGAGGTGCAGTAAAAATTGTCATACTTTTTGCTACGTGTAGTGTGAAGCTTCTCATTTCCCTTCCTTTGCTAAAATCCTGCTACTATGAATCGAGAATTTATTTTTTGATACGCTTTAGTATCGTTAATGGAGATGCGGTACTTTATTTGATTGAAACTGAATATTATATCTTGATGTTGGTTTACATGGCAGGTACAGACAGAGGGGAAAAAAAGAGAACAGATTGAAATATTATATTCTAACGAGTTTCATTGAAAAAAACTTTCGCATTTTTGCATTTAATCGATACCGCGCTTTTGAGATAATTAATATTGGCCCGTATCGTAACTTCGCGCGTGGGAGGAGAAATATTCTTTGTTCAAACTTGGAATATTTTCTTGCCTCTCCTTTCGAATCATAAATTTCAGTTTGAAGAGTAATAAAATGTGAAACGCGAAAGTTAACGATCTTTTCTGTATTGAATCGCTACTCTCTGATTTTGCAGTTTTGTTCACGTTATAACTTCGATCGATAAACCATCATGTCAGTTCTTTTTTGGACATCGATAAACGCGCACTGATGTATTTATAAAACGGAAGCTATCTAAGTTTTTTACGATTTTTCACAACGGGTATCTCTAACCGTATAGAATATTGAATTTTAAAAGCATATCTCCTATCTGTTGCTCTTTTTTTTTTACCGTCGATTTTATTCACTTCCGTTGTATATAATCCTGTAGAAATATAATGCTCACCATCGTAAACATATCGGGAATGTTATTTCCATTTCAGTAGTCACACGTACGTTTTTCGCGCAAGCATAAATTACATACGAAACGCATCTCTTTGCGTGTTTTAACGAACGGCATCAAGATTGCGCGCTCACTATTGCATGGTCTTATCTCTTCGTTAGCGGCGAGATGGGGATGAAGAAGGGGGTGAGATAAAGAGAGGCTTCGGAATTGGTGATATAAAAGGGAAACGATACGCCAAAGTTTATTTATCGTGCGCGTCGTTTGTTCTCTCTTTAATCTGCAAGAGATAAATACCAGTCCGTGTTGAAACTATACGGGGCTCGCCGTCTGGCCGTCAACCGAAAGAAGAAAGGATGGCGCTAAAGGGGAGCGAAAGGGATCGCAATTCGGGTGGGAGGATGAGGGGTAGAAGAGGGCGAGAAAATCCGACGCGGACGTGCCGGAAAAAAATGTGCGAGAGGGGCCATGAAAACGGCGCTAGGATTTCGCTGAAGGTACACAAAAACCGAGGCTTCAGCCTCTGTTGCATCTCTCCGTGTTCTTCCCTCTTCGAGTTCTTCGAACGGTCGGCTTCGCGCGGCGCGGCGCGGCGGCCCACGTTAAAAATTCACCCGGCGCTGAAACGCGGAAGTCGAGCAAATAAAAAGTCGTCGAGCCGTCAAAGGACGGCCATGGCGGCTTAATCCTCTTCGCGCTGAAAGGATTTTAATAGGACGCGTTAATAATTCTCGACACGCGTGTGCGCGCGCGCATTGCTCTTTTAATTATACCGTCGTCGGCGGTCTCACTCTTCCGTAAATACCACTATCATTTATGCGTACGTATAATCGAATGATTGGAGAGAGATGGATTTCCTGATAAACGTGTTTTGTCACGCCGTTTCTTGATCCTCGCATCTGTCTCGCAACGCGCAATTATTCGACTCTTTGTTTCGGATGTTTACCTTTGTCAGTGTAATATCGCATTATCGTGATTGAACATTTGTAAAGCTCGTTCAAACATTTCGTAAATGCGGATAATAATACGCGTATAGGAACGGAAAGAGGAGAAAATTCGTGAAAGAGGCGAGGGAAATTAATCTTGAGATATATACCAGTCGTTCAAAAATTTCAGCGTGCTGTATAAGTTGCAATTAGCGTTACGTAATATAGAGAGAAGCAGGTGTGCGACAAACATCGGCACACGCCCATTGCACTCTCGAGTCTCTCTCGACGAGTGACGGACGTCGGTCAGAGCACAATTCGTTATCGAATTAATGGCGCGTCATTAAGTACCATGCTGAATGTGACGTACTTTTTCCGAATCCGTGTCCGAATACACGCGGCCGGGTCGATACTCCGGCGGCAGGTACGCCCGAGCAGTTTCCGGCGGTGCGAGCTGCAGCAAAACCCTACCACGTAGTGTCAGTTCCAGCGTATGCGGAGTCACCACTGGTCCTGCTCTCGAACCACCCACCACGCCTCCATCTAAAACAAATATTAATGGAAAATGTAAGGTTGTCGTCGGAACCGCAAATTTACCTCTACTCCGTATATAACGCAGTAAAAAGGTTGGCAGAAAAATATCCGTAAACTCAAAAAGGGCCGCTAAAAGTGTTTCGCCAAAATCATCGTGATTTATCACATCTGCTTTGGTAATTACAAATAATTTGCGAACGTAGTTAAAATTATTAATAATATAGTCTCATTTAATACATTCTCTGAAAGGCATGAATTATTTGAATTTAAAATTGTACGTATATTCATTCTCATTCAAAAGCTGCTCTCAAAAAATATGAAAACTTAATTCTGTATGATATGGCATAAAAAACAAAATTTGTGAGATATTTCTGTGGAGTGACAGCTTATCGCACACAGAAATTCTCTTGATTCATTTTAGCTTGTATGAAGTATCTATAATTATAGAAATATATCCGTAATTATGGAAACATTTTTTTCTTTATAGACATCAGTCTCTACCATTTTCTGGCATTCTCTGCCTTCACCGACCATGTATAATTGCGATTTGTCGCTGGAGGCTATATAAGTACAATTGGTCTATTCTATAGCTATATACGCGTCAAATTACTCACGGAGAGAGATTAGAGTTATAATTAATTCTTCGACTGGCTATAGCCTGCGGAGCGGCTTAGAGGCAGACGGAAGTTGGTCGCAGGTGCGCGCATGAGGACCCCCCCCACTCGACGAAGGGGATTTTCCGGAAATTGCCCAGTTTATTTACCGCATTCGCGCGCCCTCGCCAATTCGGATTCATTTATTATCGTTTTTCAACGCGTTGCGCACTTCTTTTTTTTCAACGTTCGCCATCGCCATCGAGCCTGTTTTTCTGAAACCTTATTTCAAGTGATTGTGCCAAGCGCTTGAAATATAATTGAAGGGAAATCACATCGAGGGCGGGAAAGATTGAGGAAACCGCGAATGAATTCGACCTCTTCTTCACCTGCAAACTCGTAATTGTGTTTTTATCGACCGTGTCGATCCGCGCCTCCAATTGCTTCAATATCGGCCTTCAATAATAGATAAGCCGTTCGTCGATTTCTCTAACATTTGCGCGAAATGACGGAGATCGAGTTTCGCCGTAATTTCTGTATTAAAACAGATGTATTTAGCAGGCACTTTCAGGGCTCCCCTCTCAGGTATTACTCCCTTTTCAAGTATTACAATACTCCCGCTGTGTAATATTTTGTCGGAACATCAACATCATTTCATTCTGGTGTAACGCCATATTTTGGTTTTAACGCTATGCGAACGTCACTTCTGGTTAATGGCAAACATTCTGGCCTGTGACCATCCATTATACCGCTCCCCGTTATAAATCCCGTATAATTCGCCATTGGGGTGCTAATTCTGCGCGTGTCACGGACATTAACAGCCTAATGGTGGGGCTAAAGCGCCTTGACACGGAGAATATTCTCCCGCGAGTACTCCCTGGTAATTTAGGTAAGCGCTCCGACAAATTCTTCCCCTTCCGCCGCCGTCCCCGCCCGTAAGGGCCCCGAGGAAATTAGCGAAGACTGCCTGAATCGACACGTTAAACGTTTAATACTGAGCACGCCTGATTAACTTGAATTGATATACGTGCATGCAGGCGCTCGAATCGTCGTCGCCATTCTGTGTTATAAACTGTTAGGAACACAATGGCCTTTTATATCCGTGTAAAATGTTTCAAGCCGAACGCAAATTGCTACGTGACGAATTGTGCGCGAGCTTTTTGTGTCGTCGCCCGTTTTTTTTTGTAAAGCTTTTTTTCGGAAAGTTTTTCGTTCAGCGATACGTTCGCGCGATTTCTAATTCCGCTAGTAGTCAATCTCCGCGTACGATCGGACGGGTTTCCGTGTAAATTAGAAAGCTGAGACGCGTCTCGGACGGGACGCTCCCAGCGATAAACTATTTCCGTTCTCCGAAGATTTAAGCTCTAAGGAAATTAGGTGGATCGACGTGTTCCCTGATAAATCTCGACTAAATCCCTAAATGGAGAGAGAGAGAGAGAGAGAGAGAGAGAGAGAGAGAGAGAGAGAGAGGGAGATGGAGGGAGGACAGAGACTCGCGCAATCACATCGACCGATCATTAGCGGAACATTTTCACGTCACTTCAATCCACACATGCCCAGGGATGCGTTTAAAATTGAATTACGTGAAAAAAAGCGTTACACACATGATATGCTTAATGCTTTTCATGTAAAAAACGATCGAACGCCAATCCGATTGGTAGCCGCTGCGCGTTGCCGCGAGTTCAGTCTGGTTGTTTTTGAAAATATCAATTTGCATAATGAACACGTTAATTATCGATGCCATTTGCATTTCGTCGGCGGGAAGAAATACACCGGGGGTAAACTGTACCAACCGTTATCGGGCGTTTGCGTCATCTATCACTGTCTGTTTTTGTTAACGTCGAATGTTATTTCCTGTGTTGCATCCAGTAGTCAATCTCTGTAAACGATCGGACTCTCGTCTGAGCGGCGTAATCCGATCGCCGACGAAGGCGCGCGTATCCCTGGCTCTGTGGGATACGCAAGAGTCCCACGTAACTAATATCGCGGCAATTCACTTTTAGGTACGCAGCACGTGCAACAAAACACGAACTCGCTATTTGCAAGAATGCTCTATTTCGTGACAGTCGACGGACGGGCGAAATTATCTTGACACAAAAAACGTTTGCTGTTCGCGAGGCGTAACACAAAACTACATAAGATTTTCACGGGAAGGAAGAAAAATATATGTAGAATAAATATTTGCCATTGATCTAGTTTTAAGTACCTTTTTATTCCTTGTTATTTTAATTAATTTAAAATAATATTCTTTTACGTAATAATTTTTTACATTCTTGCATACATTAAAAGTTTGTAATTCATAGCTTCGAAGAATCAATAGTATTCTACGCTATTAGAATTTAGTTTAGTTAGCAGTGATATATTGAATCATAATTTTACATTTCTCCTTGTTTATTGAAATGCCAATGATGCGCAAGTAAGTCTTTCAAGTGCAGTTAACGCACAACATTAATTAACTGTCGGCAAATTGTTGTAACTGCTTTACTGATATGAGGTGAACTTTCGTTAGTGCATACAACCGTAAACGTGTTCGCGAGGTTTTCATGCATGATTGATGAGCCACGCATATACTTCAAACATCAGGTCGCTCTTTCTACATCCCATCATATCTCTCGCGTTTCCTTCCACGCCGCGAAAGGTCAAAGCGAATCCCGCGCTTACATCGCATTGTGTGTCTGTCTTCCATCGATCTTCGTTCGGGCAATAATGCGTTATGGGTAATGGCCCGGGTCCCTTCGAATTTTTTTTCAAAAACGAAAATGTCTATAGACGTATATACATTATTATTTTTTCTTCGAGATTTTAGAACAGTCGGCTTAACTATTCACGTGAATAAATTTAGCATTTTTATTAGAATAAAAATAAAAAAAGAAATATATGTAGGTAACTTATTCAGTTCTGGTTTAAAGTTCCAAAGCTCTCTCTCTATGCATTTTCTTTGGCAAAAATCTACAAATAGTTTGTGTTTATTTTGAAACTGAGACATAATTAATGAGATTAAATTCAATGATTATAAATAACTTCAGTTCGTTTCTTTTACGTTTGAAATCTATTACTATCTATTCTTCTTGATCTCTCGGGGGGATTGTGCAATGAAATCCGACGAAAGAAAGAGACATTCACGTTGTCGAATTAGACGGATACTAGGTGCTGATTCCGGGAAGTAGGTTTCCCAAGAACTGATGACATTCATTACCACGGGCTGCTGTCGACATCCTATATCGGGCAGCGCCCGAAGATTGTTTTAGAGATTCATGAAGCACCGCAATGTTCACCTATTTCCCAACCGCGTTGGCGGATTCCAGAACGGTGTCCCGTTCGCGTGGGCGTAAACGTAGGCGTGCGTATATGTGTGTGGGCAGCAGGGAGAAGGGTGAGGATGTATCCTTGCCTATCCTTGCGTATGGATATACGTATATATGTGTATGTTTCGACATTGATGGATAGCCTTCTCGAGCCCATCCCCTCCCCCCTCCGTTTCTGTCCTATGAACACTGACCGTTCGAAATCTATCCTCTACAACCCTTTTGTGTCCTTTTCTCCTCCTCCTCCTCTCTCATTCTATTTAGATCTCCTGTTGAATAATTCGGTGGGTGATGTTCTGGCAGGGAAAAATCGCGTTGCAAACTGAGGAAATGCGGCGCGCGAGTGGAAGAAGATTTTTCAGAGGGTCGCGAAATTCAACAGCCGACACGGAAGTAACACGAGTAAAGTATTGTAGGCGAGTAATTAAATTTTACGGACTGTTCTGTCTGAAATGGTATTTACGCGCGATGCATTTTAAGAAGCTTATTAACGGTACTTTGAAACATTTAATTCTAGTAGATGAACTTCTACAGAAAAACATCTCGGTGAGCAGAGAGAAAGCGCGCGCTTCGAGCTTTATTGATACATCTCTCGTAAAAGAAAAAAAAAAAGTGTAAAAGCCGCGAAAAATGTCGACTCGATTCCGCCTTTGCGGTTCACGATTTACGGTACGAGTTCCCCCTGCAGATCAGAGCCGGCGTTATTGGCGCGAGCATTTTAAAAAGGAGGTCTGATACTGACGCGTCTCTTTCCACTTGAGAGTGCGGAAGAGAAATATGTTCCACCTGGCTCTTAACTTGCAGCGTGGCTTGTCGCGAAAGCTAGATATTAGCATAATCTGATATTAGCATAATCAAAAATTTGTACGCTTTAAAGTTAAATTTGTATAGTCTTAAAGTTGCATTTTTTTAAATGTGAGCATCAAACTCCGATAAATCTATAACACATAATGTTCAATCTTTTTTTTTTAAACTAATACGGACACAAATAAAATAGCGTGAAGTAAACTTAAAAATTTTTTGAAAGATATATACTTATATTAGGGATATATATTTAGTTTATTATGTATTTTTTTTAAATTAAAAGTTACATCTTTCTTGACACGAAATT